GGGTTAACCAAGTATATATGTAGGATGATAAAGGGTCATCCCAAAAAGGAACTACACTGGAGACTGTAAGTATATTCCGGACGGCCGGGAAAGCCTTGAGCACCCCAAACCTGGAGCCGGAAACCCACAACTCGTAACTAACCAAAGCCCGAAATCCTAAAACTACCAACCAGAGAAATGAGCACAAGGGTTGGCGAGGATTGACCCCTAAGTGCCAAGCCTTAAAGGATCCCTGAAAGCCCTGCAGCCATAAAGCCTTGGACTACAAAACCCCAAGCCCTAAAAGCAACTCGAACCGGTTCCATGAAAGGCAACGGAAACTGCAACAGCAGCAGCAACAGCAACAGCGACGACGACGACGCACGACAACAGCTTTCTGCATATCTTCTTGCCCTGAACTTGGACCGGGGATTTGTGATTGGGGACCCCTGCCCCGATTGAACTGGGGTTGAGCCTGTGCCGAGCAGCTGCGATCGCCTCCGCTGCCCAGAAGCTCAGCATAGCCACCCCATCGCCTGTGTCGCAGTTCCACTGCTTGGGAACCCATGTGGACTCTGTTCGGAATCATTTCTTGTCTTCGGCCGCTCAAATGAAATTTACAAGTCTTGCGCGCTCCGTCGATAAATCGTGCTCTGCTGCTATTGTGGCACCAGTGGAAGGGCGGCGCAAAGCAAGGCAAAGCATGAGAGCACTACAGATGTGCGCACTGTGAGGGCAGCTGCCTCGCAGGACCTCGTCTGGACGGCACGCCGAGTGTGGGCAGCTGTCGCGAGCATGGCAACTCCAGCTACTGCCTACTGCAGGGTGTTCCGTTGGGTGCAGCGACAAACTTGAAGCGGCGCCCATGCCGTAGCCACAAACCATGCCTCATCCAGAATCAGGACCTTGCAAGCGTGATACAGGTAACTATGAAAAGTCTCGTTCACGAATGGAATTGCGCAACTTTGCAGGTGGTTCCAAGGAACCGATGCACCCAAACGAATCGACTCGTTTATCCAAGCCGTCCCTGCGAGCTGTCGGCGTCCGAATTCAAAGCCAAAGTTCGGCAAACCACGCAAGAGCCAGGCCTTGAGTTCAGCATCTGAACTCCCGGAAAGGTTGCAGAACTCTCAGCTCGAGTCCAACCCATTTTCAAGCTGCAGCGAAACAAATCGCGAACTGACGAAGCACTCTCCACCAAGGGGTCATCCTGTCTGCAGAGGGGGGAAGTGAGGTCAGGAACATTTACTGCATCCGCTGGTGGACATTAGCTTCAGATTGATTTTCGCAACTGCAATGTCAATCCCAGTCTGATCTAGCACATTCTGCGCTGCCAGTGGAAGGATAAGGGTCGCGCGACCGCTAGTTGCTGGTCCTATACATAGAAGGTGGACAGTAGAGGCAGCAAGTCCGTATGGCCCGCTGCCCTTGCCAAGTCTTCCGGCGAGTCTCCTCGATCATTAGCAATAGGCTCAGCATCATGCTCCAGGAGTAGCCTCACCAGTGTCTGGTCGCCCATGACGGCAGCAATAGACAATGCTGTGGCCCCTGGAAGGGAAGCCATTTGACGCTGGTAAACAGTGCACCCCTCAAGCCCCCAAAGGGCAGCAGAAACGCGAGCACGCAAACACTCCTTGTACAGGAGGCCACGGGGCTTCGCTCGTGCATTTGCATCACCTCGTGAGGACAAGAGCATCTGCAAGATTGCTGGCGCATCTGGATTGCCACGGCCGAAGAAAGACACACTGTACATAGGTCCGAAGCCATTTGGGGAAACGGTGCCAGGGTCACAGCGAGCCTGCAAGAATGCCTTCACCGTGCTTGCAGTGGACACTCCGACAGCTCCCGTCAACGGGGGCGATGCGCTGAAATCTGCCTTTTTCTCCAGCAACACCTGTACATGGCCAGGATGAGATGCTAGCCATGACGCAGTAACTAGTGAGCCAGACTCGGAGACGCATGCAATGTTAGGGTCTGCCTGCGACAGGATGAGGGTGGACAGGATCTTCGGCTCTTGAGCATTATAGGCGGCCACCATCAGTAAAGTTAGAGAATCGGCATATCCCAAATGTCCAAGACCGCTGACACGAGCATTCACATCCGCACCATGCTTGACCAAGGTTTCCAAAATATCTCCATCGCCAGCAACAATTGCACATAGCATGCCCGTCATGCCACTTTCATGCTTCACAGCATCATGGAGACTGGGAAAACTGAAGTGTCGCAAGAAGCC